CTTAAGAAAAGACTGCCGGGATATAACTACGACTACACACAAACGCGTGCACTGGGGGATGCATTTACAAAGTCTAAGTCTAATCAAAATTTAATTATACACGTGAACAAACACGCATGTATATAGCCATTTTTTACTTGTTGGTAAAACTAGTTGGGCATATATTGCGGAACAGGTGGTCGACCATCGAATCCAAATAAAATTTAGAGTTTCAAGTTTTAATATTCAGGTTAATGTGTCCAATCCACTTGATTGACGCAAGATAATATTTCGATCCTGATTTCACCACCTGTATTTAATAAGTACACACACACATATACAGAAAGAGAGAGAGAGACGCGCACACACGCACACACACACACACACACACACACACACACATATATATATATATATATATATATATATATATATATATATATATATATATATATTTCATTGAATACGTCAGACAAGGCGCTTTTATTTAGTTTTTTATACAATTTCTCATGCGATCTAATGTTTTTCTTTTCTGATGATAAATTATAGAAAACCTGTCCGAAAGTTCTATTTATCCGAGCGCTTTCGGCTATTCATTTAGCCGTTTTCAAGGATGAAATATTTTAACTGTTAAATAAGAAATAGTTCGTTGCATGTATGTATGTATATAATGTTTTCATTTTTTCAAAACACGGTCAAGATATTGTCTCCATGTTCATAGATTATATCAGTAAGTGTTGTTTTTTAGCTTCTATTAATAAGGCTTCCATTATTTTTAGCATTTTTTGCATGTAGATGATGCTATTATATTTGTCTGTTGTATTCAATGAAATGTGCATGAAAGGATTGCTGCCTAACTACACAAATATATATATATATGTGTGTGTGTGTGAAAAGTGTATATAAATATAAATAAATATATATGTATAATTATTTATATATTATATGCATACTTATTAAAAGCGCTCAATATCAGAGATAGAGCTAACATATTTGGTTGGATAGATGTGAGTTTGTGATCCTGGGTTTCACGCTGACAATCGCTAAAGCGTGAAACCCAGGGTCACAAACTCTCATCTATCCAAACTCTCTATCTCTCTCTCTCTCTATATATATATATATATATATATATATATATATATATATATATATATATATATATAAATATGGATACACACACATGCATATATATGTGTGTGTGTATCATATTCATATTTTTTTCAACAAGCATATATGCACATTATACATGAAAATTGCAGTTCAAAATCCAGCTATTTATTTAATTTTTATTGTATTCGCATATGAGTTTTCTTTTCTGAGCATAAAAGCTGTAAAAAGTTTCCCAATTTTTTGTATATCCGAGCGCTTTCGGCTGTTCTGTTAGCCATTATGGAGGATGTCATTTTTTTTTTTAAATTTTAACTGAATGTGTAGATATTTTTATATATTTCTAGAGGAATGGGAATGATTTATTATTTTCTAAACACGATTAGGACAAAGTGGCCGTGTTCATTAACTTTTTCTTTTCTTTTTCTTTATTTATCGACGTGTAACTTGGGTCTTCATGATAGACATGTAGTTGTATGCCCAATATATTTAGTCTTGATTTTGTTTTGATCCGGGATGTAGATTTTAAGGGGAACGTGACTTCATAAAACACGCGCACACACATTGAACTTCTTCAAACTATTGATCACGATAGAGTGTGATTTCTCTCCGAGAAAGAGTAGCTAATGTCCAGTTACTTCAGAGGTGGGATCTGAACAAGGGTCTCCAACAAGCAATGGCCGACCATCCCATTAGACGAGTGTACTCAATTTTGTCAGGAAAATAGAGTATTAACTTAATGAGAAATTAATTTATTACGTTTAAATATAATTTAAACAGACACAGAACACACACACACACATATATATATATATATATATATATATATATATATATATATATATATATATATACTGAGAGAGAGCGAGAGCGAGAGCGAGTGAGACAGAGTACAGTTTTATTATTTTGGCGGTAGCTGACCAGTTCTCACAGTCCAATCTCAGCAGGCCGTCACCGAATCCCTTTGGGTGTCGAATTAATTTGCACCCTCCAAACTCTTTCACAGTCGGCATGTTATAAGCCTCTTGCAGCACTCTCGCTTCTACCATAGAAAGTCCTTGGAATAGCTACATTCCTTGGTTCCTCGAGGTTTAACTATCACGGATAGGACCCTCCATGCCATTTATATTGTAGCAAACCACCCACATTTCCTCCATATTCTATCGATGAGAATTCAGTTTAACTCGAAGATTATTCCCACGGATCCCTGCTCTGTAGAATCGATTCCCAAGTGGGTGTTTCCCCGATCGGCAGAATCTTAACCTGTTCAAATCTAGGATTGACTTCCCCTCCTTTCCGTATAAACTGTCTCTTAACTTAACCTTCTACCACGAGTGGTCCTCGAGCCTTTTACAGGGTGAACCTTTATTGTCAGTGGGAGTAATGTGCATTTTCTTATTTCTTGATAGATTTTTTTAGTGAATTTTTCTTGTCTGAATGGTAACGTTTTCTTTTTTGTTGCTGATTTTTCTAGTAGCAATGATTATGACTTGAATGAAACCTTTGGTGAACTCAGAATCGTTATATAATTATACAAAATTATATATCGTTATATCATACTGTCGACATGAAAAAACACCAAATTCTGAAAGAATACAAATATAAGGCTCTAGAAATTTAGAAACAGTCATAAAAAGAGAAAACGACAGAGATTTCAAAACTAACATGCATCAAAATATAGTTAACACTAGTAATTTATGCAACTGTCGTAATAAGAATAGATGTCCATTAACTTGTAAAACAGAACCAATAATCTATATATATATATATATATATATATATATATATATATATATATATCAAAATTTTCTCCCTGAATCGATACTTCAAATATATAAAACAACCATTCGCCCTTGCATGGAGTATTGCTGCCATATATGGGCTGGAGCACCTTCTGCTTACCTCGGAGTTCTCGACAAGATCCAGAGAAGGATATGTAATCTAATTGGCCCTGATCTAGCGTCTTGCTTGCAGTCACTCTCTCACAGACGCGCCGTCGCCACTCTGTCTTTTCTACAAATACTTCCATGGTAACTGCTCTGATGAGCTGCTCTCTGGTTCCCCAGACTCCATGAATTCAAGCGCCCTACGAGGCTGGCATCCCGCTCTCACCCTTACACCGTAGAAACCTTCAAATGTAGCCGTCTCTTCTACTCCAATAGCTTCATACCTCGCACCTCTCGCCAGTGAAACACCCTCCCCAATTACTGTTTCCCTGAAAGCTATAATCTCCAACTATTCAAATGTAATGTCAATCGACATCTCCAATTACCATGATCTACCCACTATCCTTCTCCTCTTCCTTTCTCCTATCACTCTTATCTGCTCTCGCTCCAAACCCCTGCATCCTAGTGGCTTCACGCCTTGCTTGGGGCACAATGCTTAAAAAAAAAATATATATATATATATATATATATCAGAAGTAAGAGATATTAATGGTCAGAATAATACGTACAGATGATGTACTGAAAGTTCTTTCAAATGTAGATACTACAATCATAGGTCGTTATTCAAGCAAACTTGTTAACCATCTGCGAAATTTAAAAGGAAAAACACCATGGATCCGATTGTAATTTGAATTTTTTTTAAATGGTGCAGACTTACAACCTCAACAATAATATTTGCAACCTCTGCCAACAGGAATAATTTGGAATAATGACATATCTAGATTCAGATATCATTTTGAACCAGAGGTCAGAAGTCATGAGCCGTTGCATACCTACAAAAAATCTTCTTAAGCTCATATGTGGCCGGTTAAAAAAGTATGTACATTACAATTACCCCCACACCGATACATTTATAATACCCTTGCTTTTCTTCTTTTCTCCATTATTCTCTTCAATTCTTTGCATTATCTTCATTCTTTTCTATCACACCCAAATCCGTGCGTTTGTTTATTTTATTTTATTTTTAAATAATATAGCCTTCAGCGTTTCCTTTTTTAAATAAAGCGTTGGGAAGCCAATTGATAAAAAGTATCAGCATCAACTGATTGCCTCATTTTGAAAGTTATACATAGATACACACACACACACACACACACATATATATATATATATATATATATATATATATATATACTAATTTGTACTACTAATAAAGATCACTTATTACACAAAACATCATCTTTAACATAAGAAAAGCGTTGAAGGATGATATATTTGCTAGTGGCTCATCAGTAACTTATTTTCTAGCCACATGAGATCTTTATATATATATATATATATATATATATATATATATATATCGGAATATTCCAATATAAATATCAAAGAATAGTATCACCATACAACATATTTACTTCCCTAATAACTAATGCTAAAAACATATATATATATATATATATATATCGGAATATTCTATGATACACATCAAAGAAGTGTATCACCATACAACATATCTACTTACCTAAAGCCTAATGCTGAAAACGTCGTGTGATAATTCAAAAGAGTATTGATCCAAATAAAAATAACAACATATGCGAAAAAAGCTGAATGTGTTCCGCTAATTCTGGATACATCGCATGTCAAAATACGGGAAATTAAAATTGAAACATGCGGATAGAAAAATTCCAGAAGATATAAAAAACATAGAATTGGCTGTAAGACAAGGATAGGTTTTCTGTCCGGACTTATTCAACCTATACAGGAAGGCAATTCTGTGAGAATTATATATCTTGTCATGATTGGCAGGCATAAATTAAACAACATGCAATACGCAGATGACAAAGTGTTGATAGCAGACCCAGAAATAAATCTACAAAAGTTCCTACAGATCTTAGTGTAAGAAAGCGAGAAGAATAAACTGCAAGAAAAAAACAGAATGTATGTTTTTGACAAAACGATGAGTCCAAAATGCTAATTACAAACTGGAGATAGCAAAATGAAGCAAGTACAAAATATTAAATATCTGGG